CCCCCCTCTGTATTTCCCCCATCACCCCCACCCCACCTCCCCCCATCACCATCCATTCCCTTCCTGATTAAAAATCTCTCCCTCGCTCTCAGCTTTGAATATACTGAATGTCCCACCCCTCGACACCCCCCTCTGCGGTGAAGAATCCCACAGACTCGCTCCCCTCAGAGAGAAGAAATTCCTCCCCATCTCCGTCTTCAGTGGGCGACCCCCTTATTCTGAGATGATGCCCCCTCTGGGTCCTAGACTCTCCCACACATGGGGGGGACAACCTCGCCCCATCTCCCCTGTCACGTCCCTCCCCCCATGAATCTTGGATGTTTTGATCAGGTCGCCTCTCATTCTTCTAAACACCGATGAGTACAGGACCCGAACTACTCAACCTCTCCTCCATAAGACAGTCCCTCCATCCCCGGGATCAGCTGAGCCAAACTTCTCTGGCCTGCCTCTCATGCCAATCTATCTCTGCTTGGATACAGGCCCCCGAAACCATTCGCAGTATCCCAGCTGTGGTCTGACTAGTATCGTTTTTGTAAAAATCTCCCTGCTATTCTACCCCATTCCGTTCGGATAAAGGCCAGCATTCCATTTGCCCTCCCCATTCCCCAAAGAACTTGGACGCAAGCTTTTTGTTACCCGGGGAGTGTCTGAAATTTGTACTCCAGCGAGAGTCGGTGCCGCACGTTTTCACAGAGCCCCTACAGTGCGGAAACAGGCCATTCGGCCCAACAAATCCACGCCAACCCTCCAAAGAGCATCCCCCCCAGATCCATCCTATCACCCTTTCCCTGTAACCCTGCGTTTCCCATGGCTAACACACCTAACCTACATTGTTGCCGAACACTCCGGGACAGTTTACCGTGTCCAATCCCCACCCTAACCTGCACACCTTTGGACTGTGAGAGGAAACAGGAACACCCAGAGGGAACCTACGCAGACACAGGGAGAATGTACCAACTTCACACAGACAGTGACCTGAGGGTGGAGTTGAACCTGGGTCCCTGGTGCTGTGAGGCAGCAGTGCTAACCACTGTGCTGCCGTATGGGGAGCTCGCGCTGAATGCGATGGGCTGTGGGTTTTTTTTTTGCTGCTGTGCCTTTGAGATGAGTATGGTCCTGTCTAATTCCGTTTTTAATTACACTTAGGTGTCAGACCTGGTGAAGAAATACAGTCGAGAGCAGATCACAGTCTGGGCAACAGATAGTGAGCGCAAGATGCTGTTATGTCGTGCAGAGGTGGGGTCTCTGTCTCTGTCTCTCTGTCTCTCTCTCTGTGTCTCTCTGTCACTCTCTCTCTCTCTCTCTCTGTGTCTCTCTGTCACTCTCTCTCTCTCTTGTTCCCTCTGTGTCGCTCCCCCTCTCTGTCACTCTTTCTCTCTCTGTCTGTATCTGTCTCTCTCTATCTGTCTCGCTGTCTCTATCTCTCTCTCTCTCTCTCTGTCTCTCTCTCTCTCTCTGTCTCTGTCACTGTGTGTGTGTATCTCTCTCTCTCTCTCTCTGTCTCTCTTGTTCCCTCTGTGTTGCTCCCCATCTCTGTCACTCTCTTTCTCTCTCTCTGTGTCTGTCTATGTGTGTGTCTGTCTCTCTCTTTCTGTCTCTATCTGTCTCTTTCTCTCTATCTCTCTCTCTCTCTGTCTCTCTCTGTCTCTCTGTGTGTCTGTCTCTCTGTCTGTATGTCTCTCTCTGTGTCTCTCTCTGTTTCTGTCACTTTTAATATTTATAATTACTACTTCACTGGCCATGTGTGAAGTGCCAGATGACTGGAGGGTAGCTAAAGTGGATCCCTTGTTTAAGGAGGGCAGCAGGGATAGGCCGGGTAATTACAGATCAGTTTGTCTGACGTCAGTGATGGGGAGGTAACTGGAAAAAAATCTCTTAAGGACAGGATAAGTTGGAAAGGCAGGGATTGATGATGGATAGTCAGCATGGATTGGTTAGAGGGAGATCCTGTCTGAATAATTTAATAGTTCTTTTTGTGAAAAGCTGGTTAAATATTGTTGACAAGGGTAGTGGAATAGATGTGGTTTACATAGACTTCAGTGAGGCCTTTGACAAGATCCCACACGGAAAGCTGGTCCGAACGGCAAGAGCCCCTGGGATCCGAGGCAAGTTGGCAAACTGGATCCGAACATCTGCTTCCAAACAGGGAGCACAGGGCAATGGTGGAGGGAGGTTTCTGTACCACAGGGATTGATACTGGGACCCTCGCTGTTTGTTATGTACATTAGCAGCTCGGATGTGAGTGTAGAAGGTTTAATTAGTGAGTTTGCAGATAACACTGTGTTGGTAATAGTGTGGAGGAGGACGGTCCTGGGTCACAGTCTGATATCGATCAGCTGGTAAATTGGGCAGAGCAATTCCAGTTGGAGTTTAATCCTGATAGTTAAGTCTGAGGTGATGCATTTTGGGAGATTTAATAAGGGAAGGAGATGCACAGTGAACAGTGGGTCCCTAGGGAGTACTGAGGAGCATAGGGACCTTGGTTTGTCTCTCTGCGCCTCTCCTCTCTCTCTGCGCCTCTCCTCTCTCTCTACGCCTCTCCTCTCTCTCTGCATCTCTCCTCTCTCTCTGTGTCTCTCCTCTCTCTGCCTCTTGGTGAACAAGGCCATAGATCCCCTTAACGAAAGTAAGAACTGCTGATGCTGGAGTCAGAGATAACACAGTGTGGAGCTGGATGAACACAGCAGGCCAGGCAGCATCAGAGAAGCAGGAAAGCTGACGTTTCGGGTCGGGACCCTTCATCTTAGATCCCTGAAAATGTCAGCACAGGTAGACAGGGTGGGGAAGAAGGCACACAGGATGTTTGTCATCACTAGCAGGGGTGTAGAATACAGGAGCAAGGAAGTCTTGTTACAGCTTTATAAAACATTGATTGGGCCACAGATGGAACGCTGTGTGTAGTTCTGGTCGCCACACTATCGGAAGGATGTGATTGCACTGGAAAAGGGTGCAGGGGAAATTGACCGAGATGCTACCTGGGATGGGAAGGCTCAGTCATGAGGAGAGACTGGATAGGCTGGGTTTGTTTTCCCTGGAGCAGAGGAGGCTGAGGGGAGGCGCAAGAATCTGACTGAGGTGAACAAATTTCTGAGAGGCAGAGGTAGGGGAGATCAGGAGAATCTTTTCCCCATGGCAGAGATGTCTAAGACTAGAGGGCATATGATTAAGGTGCAGAGTAAGTGGTTTAGAGGGGACCTGAGAACACGTTTTCTTCCACCCAGAGGGTGTCTCTCCCTCTGTCTCAATCTCTCCCTCTGTCACTCACGCTCTCCCTCTGTCCCTCGCGCTGTCTCTCTTTCTCTGTCTGTCTCTCTCAGAATAGAACAAACAGCACTGAGCAAGGGGCTGAAGGGTCTGTGTGATTCTGTCTGTCCTTTTCTCCAGAACCCTCATATGGCCCATGCTTTCACAGCTCGGCGTATTCTCTGGCTCCTGCTGATGTTTTACTCTGGATCACTGCCATTCGTTCCCATCAGGGAGTCCTGCCTTGAGACCTTCCTGCCCTCCATCATTAACAGGTCAGTGATCCCTCACCAATACCAATGGTGACTCAGCTTCTCTCTCAATAGGGATGGGGGTTGGCGGGGGTGCGGTTCTGAGAGGGAAGGGGTCTTCCTACACTCCAACAGGGCCTGGGGGAGATCCCACCTGGAGCACTGTGCACTGTTTCGGGATCCTTAACCTGAGGAAGGACAGACCCCGGACTGAGAGGGAGAGCAGGGAAAGGAGGGGTGGGGGTTCACTACACTGTCCCCCGGGAGGGGAGCAGGATTGTCGAAGGAGGGGCGATCGAGGGGAGGTGAGATATTGAGAGGGATTGAGGGACATGGGGTGGAAGGTGCAGGAGACTGGGAGATGGATAGATTTTTGGGGGGAGACACTGAGGGACACGGGGAGAGTGCTGGAGACTGGAATTGAGGGAAAAGGTCAACAAGGAGCTTATCAAAGGACAGAACAGACTTGAGGTGCTGAATGGCCTCATTCTGCTCCTATCCCTTATGTTATTTCGTTATGATTAGCTTGGAATCCCAGGCTCCATTCTCCAAACTCCGCAAACCCTGAGCTGACGTCAACATTCACTGCTGAACCTCTGACCCAGGCACAGGGAGATCCCAGGCACAGCCCGTCTGCCCTCTCTTGTCACACTCTTCTCCTTTCTGAACAGGTACTACTTTCCGGAGAAGAAAATCCTGAGAAACAGATATGTGGTCCGAATCCTGGATTGGTGAGAAACAGATGATCCCTCCTTCACACCCTCTCTCTCCCTTTCTCTTCATCTCTACCTCTTCACCTCTCACTCAATCTCTCCATCTCTCTCTCTCTCTGTGTCTCTCCCTCCCCCACCTCTGCAATCGTCACCGTCTCTCTCTATCTATTTTTCTTACTCCCTCTCCCTCTGTCTGTTTCCTCACTGTCTCTCTCGCTGTGTCTTTCTGTCTTCCTGTCTCTCTGAACATCTCTATTCCTTCGCCAATGCTGTCTCTCTATCCTTCTATCTCTACCTCTCCCTGACTCTTTCTCCATTTCCCCCATCACACTCCCCATCTCTCTCGCTTTCTCCCTCGGTCTGTCTGTCTGCCTGTTTCTTGCATTCCCACTACCTCCCTTTCTGTTTCTACTCCGTCCGCCTGAGTCTGGTTTCTCTCTTGACTGGGACCTGTGTCTCTGTCTCTCGCAATCACCGATTTCCTGGACATAATCGGAATATCTCTGTCCCTACCTGCAGGTTGCTGATGAAGAAATGGTTATTCAAACACCTAACAGATCGTGGCATTCAGGTAGAAACCCAAACTGCTCTGGGACCGAATCTGTGCCGAGTTAATTTAACTGACAGGTCATGGAGCCCTCCCCACCCGCGCCCAGTGTCAGCATCGAGCGCTCCCAGGGACAGGGACAGGGACAGTACAGAGCTCCCTCTACATCACCCTGACAGTGTAACCCCCTCCCCCCCCCCCCCCTCTTTATTCCCAGTGTCAGCATCAAGCGCTCCCAGGGACAGGGACAGGGATAGAGCTCCCTCTACATCACCCTGACAGTGTAACCTCCCCCTCGCACTTTATACCCAGTGTCAGCATTGAGCGCTCCCAGGGACAGGGACAGTACAGAGCTCCCTCTACATCACCCTGACAGTGTAACCCCCTCCCACCCCCCCCACTTTATACCCAGTGTCAGCATCAAGCGCTCCCAGGGACAGGGACAGGGATAGAGCTCCCTCTACATCACCCTGACAGTGTAACCTCCCCCTCGCACTTTATACCCAGTGTCAGCATTGAGCGCTCCCAGGGACAGGGACAGTACAAAGCTCCCTCTACATCACCCTGACAGTAAGGTGTTTGTTTCTGTCTGTTCTCTAGGTTTATTTCTGGGTCCTGAATGAGGAGGTGGATTACAGACGGGCTTTCGAATACGGTGCGACAGGAGTGATGACTGATTTCCCGAACAGGCTGCGAGCGTTCCTGGACCAGACCCAACCTCTCGCAAGTTAATGGGAGCCACCGGACTTAACCACCCCTAGCCCCCTGGGTCTCCCTGCCCCAAGGCCTTCCCCCCCCCCCCCCCCCGGGTCTTCCTGCTCAATAGAGTTATGTTGGGTGTGAGCTTACACTGATGCTGCTGAGTACAATACAACATGTGGGTACAATAAACTGTTACACATTCTCACTCTGTCTGTTGTTTGTCATTTTCATACAATATGGAGGGGGTGTCGGAGACAGGGAGGGGGGTGAAAGGGGCTGGAGCGGGTGACTGAGACAGAGAGGGGGGTGTGGGGGGCTGGAGGGGGTGATGGAGAGAGGGAGGGCGGTGTGGGGGACTGGAGGGGGTGACAGAGACAGAGAGGGGAG